TGTGTGATATGTCGTGTGTATGCTTCAATTTTCTCATATTTTTCATGAGTATTGAATCTAATTTCATTGGGAAAATCTGATTTTATTGTGTATAGTTGTGTGATAAGTGTGATATTTTTACAGACATATCTTATGTTGCACATGATTCTCATTATTGTCATTTGTAAATGTATTGAGCTAATTAATTCAGTAGAGGTGTTGCACCAACCATGATGATGCTTTTAAATATGGCCGTGTTTATATTACTATTCGATGAGCCATTTCCAATCAATAAAGCAATACGTACAAAATCCACGATCTGGGAATTCTTTCTTGATTATTAGTATCTATTTTTATTGTTTAAAATTCCGATTCAAGAAGTATTTGATTCGAGTATTCACATTCTATTTATTCTCTATTAAACCTTCTAAAATATTATTTTCTTGAAATTTTTTCAAATGATGATATATTTTTACATATATTAGTTGAATTCATTGTGGTAGTTGTCTTCTAGAACTCATATGGCATGACATTAATTTTTTATTTAAATTTTGATTTCAAATATAACAAAATAAGCCATAGCATTTAAATTTTTTTCATTGATCTGGTTATAGATAAATTCATCTTGGTGAATAGATAGTGTATATATCTTAAGTTTCTTATACTCTCTAGTTTCTTGAACTTCAAATGAATAACTATGATAAAAAATAAGATAAATCAGGTGCTGAATTAAAAAATTAGCACATGTTCTGATGCCTAATTAATAGTACAATTATATTACATAATTATTAATTAATTCATTAATGACATGATTAATTATTGAATCAAGGCATCGGCACAAATGTTGAATTTTTTTAATTTCGCACTTGATCCTGGTCCGATAAAAAAATTTAATTACAATTTTTACATGGCATGCTTTGCTTCTTGGGTATGGGATGCCCAAGATAAAACTTGTGGAATTTTTCGGGTGGCATTTAATTACTGTTATCGCGACCGCAAATTTCTCGTATATGATTTTCCTCCTAGTAACCCGAAAAGATTTTATTTCATGGGAGATTTTAGATTTATTATACTATAAATGGCTAGTTCTTTATTTTCAAACATTATCCTAATTCTTATCGAACAATTTTTCAGTATTCTAATCTTAGGGTTTGTTTGTTTATGATTTCAAACTACAAATCTATATTATTTATTTAGCACGATTTTTAAGAAATGTGCATTAATTTTTTTTTTTTTATGAAATATCATATCAAAATATTATTAAAAATAATTAAATCAATACTTTATTTTAAAATTAATATTTATTTTTTGCCATAGAATTAAGTGCCATAAACATTTACTTTTTTGTTATGTAGCATGAAATTTGACGCCGAAAATTCAATAAAGAATTTTGAATATATCTATTATTTCATTGAGATATAAGAAAATATATATATATATATATATAATTAAGATCACAATTGAATTTTATCTTGGTAAAAAATTTGAAGTACACCCGGACCCAAACTAAAAAGCTTCATTTAGAAAAAAATTTTGAATTTTGGATAAATTTCAATATAGGAAAAATTTATATATTTAATGTAATATTATCGTGAGAAAATGATATTAGAGGTGACACATATATATATATATTTGAACATATTAGTATTAATAAACAATCCAACAAATTTCAAAATATATATATATAAATTGAGACAAATGGCTTGGATGCATACTCATATTCATTATACTATTATTATTATTATTATTATTATTAACCGAAAGTGTTGGAAATTTGAACTCGAATCCATCCACGTACCATCAGATCATTCTTTAGGGTGTGTTTGTTTGGGGGTTTGGATTTTGAGTTAGAATTTGAATAGTAAAAATTTTGAATTTAAATAGTTTTATGATGTGATATAAATAGGTGTTGATGTGATGTTTTGAATGTAATATTAATTTTTAGTATAATATAAAAAAAAATAAGTGTTTGATTTGATATTTTTGGAAGAAAAAAAATGAGATGAATGTATTTAAAATCCAATCTCCAAAACAAACACAACCTAAACTTACTATTATCATTATTATTATTAGAAACAGGTCTAACACATAGTATAATTATGATATATAATTATTTGTTCCGATATGAAGTCTTTGGGTTTGTGGTTTTGATTTAAGTTTGAAAATTTGATTTGAACTGTGATTTATAATATTTTAATACTCCCTCCGGCCCAATACAATAGTTCTTATTACCATTTTTGTCTGTTCCAATATAATAGTCATGTTTATCATTTTTGTCCGTTCCAAAATAATAATATCATTTCTATGAATAACCATATCACTATAAAATTATCCTTACTTTTTTATTATTACTACACAATTGCCACTACTTTTTACACTAATATACTCACAAGGGCAAAAAAGTCTTTTGCCCGTATTTTTTACCTGCTACCGGTATAATATCAATATTTCTTAAATCCCGTGCCAAACACAATCCAAACTATAATTCTGAGACGAAGAAAGTATATACTCCCTCCGTCCCGAAACTAAGTATCAATTTGCTTTTTGCACGTAGTTTTAGAACTATTAGTATTATATTGGGAAATAGTAGGAATAAAGTAGAAATGACTAAAATAACCTTATTAGTACGTGTGATATAAAGGTAATGACATTTGTGTAATATATTGTAAGTTGTAAGGGTTTTTGTAATGTTACATAGTTAGTACAGTTACTAAAAAAAGGAAATAAATATTTTGTTATGGAACGGACTAAAATAAAAAAATGAATATTTTGTTATGGGACGGAGGGAATATTTAATGCGAAAAATAATATAATTATATTAAAAATTGTATAAATTAAATAGTATTAATTTGTCTTTAAAACAAAACATTTAATTCAATGTATAGTAATCTTTACACGTATATATATCTCTAATTTATTTGTCTATTATTGTTATAAAGTAGTCCTCGAAATCTACCTTCTTTATGCAACTTTTATGGGATCTCTTTTTATAGTTTTGAACTTTTGAAGAGATTTCTCTATATGTATGACTTATGGTATTAAAATTATTATTATTTGCATATATTACACAAGTCCTTTTAAAGATTCTTGGGAAATAAATAATTTATGAATTCCCTTTTAAGTTTGTTTAGAGAGAGATAATTAGAATTTGAAAAAAAAATTAAAATATATAGTAAGAAGTTGTACAATAAATATATATTTGATATAATATTTTTTTTGTAAAAAAAAAATTATTGTTAGATGAAAAATATTAAAAATTCCGAAAATATGCGTATAAATAGTCATATAAAAAATAAAAAAAATATATACAATATTTTTTTATATTATATCAAATGACTATTATTATTATTATTATTATTTTAAAATGCTGTGATGTTTACTTCTATATACATGCAATTGCATATGCATTTCGAGATCCATGCACGAATAATATATAAAAACCATAATACCATTTTTTTAAGGATATATTCCTTCCGTCCCAATACAATAGTCACGATTATTATTTTTGTCTGTCCCAAAACAATAGTTTCATATTCATAAATAATTATATTACTATAAAACTATCCTTATTTTTTCATTATTATTACACAATTGCCATTACTTTTTACACTAGTACACTCGTAAGGGCAAAAAAGTCTTTTACTTGTACTTTTTATCCGCTGCCAATATAATATCAATATTTCTTAAATTTCGTATCAAACACAACCCAGATTATAGTTCTAGTACGGAGGGAGTATATAACAGCAATAAATGCTATTATTTCCCTTTTCATAAACATAAAAAACATAATATATATAAAATAATAATAATAATAATAATAATAACAACAAAAGTAGCTGTTGGGAATATATTCTCCAATATGCGATGCAGATTTACATATATTAGCTTTTGATCTGCTTTTTCATTTTTGAATTGCTTTTAAGAATATAGACAACATACGTATGTATACTCCATTCCTTCTAATATAATAGTCTTATATATTATTTTTGTCCGTCCCAAAACAATAGTCTCATTTTTATAAATAATCGTATCACTATAAAATTACCCTTACTTTTTTATTATTACTGCACAATTGCCACTACTTTTTACATTAATACATTCACAAGGGCAAAAAAGTCATTTATTAATACTTTTTACCCATTACCTATATAATATCAATATTCCTTAAATCTCGTAGCAAATTCAACCCAAACTATAGTTCAGGGACGGAGGGAGTAATATATATATATATATATATTCTGAAGTCATATTCAAGATGTGCGTTCATGTTTGTATAATATATTAATTTTTTGGAAAACATATGTTAGAAATATTTTGTGTAAAAGAACACACCCTCGTTTTTAATAAATTGGTAAATATTAGGGAAATAATTACTTTTTGTTTCATTATATATCACATTAATCAATTTTGATCGTATTAAAAATTTTTAATCAATTGTAGTTCAATTCAAAATAAATTTAATCAATTTTGATTCTACCGTTAAATTCCAAACAAAAATGGCTGATATGACGACAATCAACATAAACTAAACACGATTTGTATTAAAAGATTTAGAGAGCTGGCCAAATTTTATAGACAGTTAATCTAGTCGTTTTTTTAAATCCGACATGGTCGTGTTCTAGCATGTAACTATACTAAGACATAGATGATTGAACATAATCATGTTTGAATGTGACCGTATTCAAAGGTTGTCATATATTGAACAGGTGCATGTTGATTGTATATAATTTTAGTCAATTTTTTAAATCATTCAGTATCACTGTTAAGTAATAAAAGTTATATCTACTTTTTTATCGTTGTATTTAATATTAGAGAAAAAAAAATTATATTTATTATACAAATATTATTTTTTTAATATATTATAAGGTAATAATATAAGTATTTTTTGTCATTTTCTCTTATTTGTGTTATATTTTGATATAATAATTAATATTCAAATATCAACGTATAAAAAGTAAATATAACTCTTGTTACGGAACGAAGGTAGTATTTTCTTTTTAATTAAGACTAGATTTATCTAAATCTTAAAAATAACAAAGACTCCTCACGGCCCGAGTCTTATCTGCCACACAAAATTTGCTTAGTGTTATTTACTTTGTCAGACCTAATTTGCAGACTATTAAATTCAACGTAATTGAAAAAAAAAAAAAACAACAACAAAAATAGAAACTATTATTCAAAAAATCGAGTGTAATTTTTGCGTAGTAATTTCCATCTTTGAAGTTTGTCCTTATCCTGTCCTAATTAGACCTAATCTTGCTGCACTTTCTTCGTACGGATTATAACCCGAGCTCCTGAAGCAAGCCTGCAGCAAAAAAAATTAAAAAAAAAAAAGAAAAATGTTATGAATTCTAATCGATACTCTTATAATTTTGCTTATTTAAATAAATATAATATAAAAATAATCAAATATCTCACTTATTGCCGCTCTAACAGTCATTTTAATGTCACACGTACATATACCACCATCAGAACAACAATAAGTGAGATATATATAACTAATTTTTTTGAATAAAATAAAATCGAATAGAAAAGATCGATCTTTTATTAATGTTATACTCAACTTTCTTCGACCGTGATCACATTACTTTCCTCGACATTGTCTCTCAAGAAATCCGTCTCTCTCCGGGACGTCGAATGTTGCTCTTTCTCGGATAACATTCTAGTTAAGAATCACCCGACATTCGCGAAAACCAAAGTTAATTCACAAGGTTATGTCATAAAACATCAAGAAAATATCGACGGGCGCGGAGAAAAATTAAATCGACCGACCTCGCACTAGTGTCGAACGAACGACGATGTTTTTCAGACAATTTACGATTCTCCGCCGAACCGTTAGCCTCTCCCAAAACGAACGATGTCGAGAACAACGGCGACGGGAATTTCGAGCTCGATAAAGTCGGCTTGTACGTCGGGATAAGTCCGAACCGATGATCTTTCACCGAAATTGACCCACAAGATATGAGCTGCATTATTAAAGTCGACGCCTTGAGCTTATTGCATCGTTCGTTTTCGAACATTCTTAAATTTTTGAGTTTTCTCACATCCGCTCGAATCAGTGACTCCAACGTGCCGGTGTTATCGCAGCCTCGGCTTTTGTCGGGAGTTCGTTCGACGGCTGGGGTAATTTCGTCGTTTGAACAACCTTGTACGACAATTTCTTCGTCGGTCTGTGTGGATGCGTCGGTCTTGCTGAGTTTGTATTCGGTTAGGCTTAACGAGACGTTCCAAGACGAATTTTTTCCGGTGCTCGAGTCTGGGGAAACGGTCGACGAGCAAGGATGGCGTACGGTCGGAGACAGCTCGTCATCCCGGGAACTTTCTTGGCTTATCGCCGTGCACGGCGGCTCCGGCGACGATTTGTGGTTTTGTATTACGACTCCGCCGCCGGCGGGAATCGATCGAACTGGAAAACATGTGTCAAAAATAATGCTATTTCAACAACAAAAATTTATCGACAATCTATTTACATAAATACTTTCGAAACTTTCGAAACTATTCAGAAACAAGATACTCCCCTCCATCCAAAAGTAAATTATCCATTTTATCATTTTAATCTGTCCAAATCAAAACATTTCATTTCGACAGTGTTTACTTATGAGATTTTACCACTGATTTTAATATTCCAACTTTCTTTTCCCTCCAAAAACATCATATCAAATACCCAGATTTATTTATTTTATTACACTAAAATCTTAATTTTACATTCAAAAAATTACATCAATACATATTTATATCACATCAAACAACTATTTTAATTCAAAATTTTACTATTTAAAATAAAAAATTCAAAACCAAAATTTCACAAGTAAACACCCTCGAAAGGAGTATACTAATACTTTAATGTCAAGGTCAAAGTAGACATTACTACCATATTACACTAAATATCAATAAAATATTAATTTACCTTAATCTGCATACAAAAGTCAATAAAAATTTACCATAGCACGGAGGGAGTGTATTTTTTTGAAAAGCATTGCATCGAATAATTTCTTCCTCCGACAAAAATCACATTGAATGTAAATTTTTTTATCATTTTCCAAAAGTCCAAAACTTTCAAAAATAACTTCTACTAAAACGGGATTACGGACTTTTAAAAAAATATCGCATTAAATATTAACTTTTTACTGTTCCCAAATTTTCCATAACTTCGAAAATTTCTATCTAAACGGAGTAAAGTCGCCTCGGCGAAAAAGGGATTACCGGAATTGGATTCGGAGAGGAGCTCCGACCCCTTAAGAACATACTCGTCGCCGTGCGCCGGAAGGATCAAATCATCGCGGCAAAGATCATGCCATACATATCCATTTCTATAACTCCTACGTTAACAAAATCAAACATTAATGTTCTTCAATCCACTCCACAAGACAAAATCGAAAGAATACATACATACATACATACATACATATACATACATATATATATATATATATATACATGTACACTACCTCTTGCACGACCAAGAGTAGGATAAAGCCACACGCCTGCCTCTCAAAACGCTGAGCCGATCCACAACGTCTTCAAAACAACATCGGAATTGTCAAAAAAACAACGTAAGATCGGCTAAAACCTTAGATCAAAATTGTGTATGTAAAATCGGAACAACCTTTCAAGTAAAGGCCATTGGAGGAAGAGAGGGGGACTTCCATGAAATGAGGATGCTCCAGCTGCTGATTCCTACAGAGATAGTAAATCACAGCAACTACTTTGCGGCTGCTCTGATTTTGTGAATTTGAGGATGTCTGAGTCCGTAATTTGGCTCTTTCAGGGCTCGATTGTCTGAATTTCTCAACTCGGTCCTCCATCGTTTAACCTAATTTCAAACCTCAATTCCCCCAATCATATGGATCTGAATAATGAAGATAGAGAGAGGTTTAATTGTCCAAAAAGGGAAACACAGAATTGGGAGGAATTGAAGAAACGTGGGATGATTCGAAGAACAACAAAGAAGAAAGAAGCAGACAAAGGAATCTAATCGAATTTATGATTGTGATTAAGAAATTGGGAGTGGAAGAAATTGAGGGGAAACTAACCTGGGGGCGGGTGCGTCGGTCGGTCGGAATTGAATTGAACTGAAAGGGACAATCAAGCAGATTGAATTTGAAATTGTTTGTTGGGAGGATTTGAGAAGAAATCGATTTGGCAGCTTTGGGGAAAATAATGATGTCTGTGTTTGTATGTAATATTGATTGTTTTGTCTGTAATGAATTGATGTATAAATGTGTGTGATTGCATTTGCGAGGCTAAGGTCAGCCCAGCCCAACCAAGTGTCTGTCCGCTACTGTTTCTTTTTTTTTTTTTTTTTAAAAAAATATTTTTTCAATTCGTCAAATTTATTTTTACTTTTAATCTCGAAATAGTTGTTTTATTTTTATTTTTTATTTTGTTTATCTCAAAATAATTGTCATAATTTTTTATTTAGTAATTGTGATTCCTACTTTATAATAAAGTAAGTATTACTTTAATTTACTTTTTAATATCCTTAAAAAAGAAAAGGTATTTTAGTATTAATCATTCTACTTTATATTAATTTTCAATCAAAAACTATTATTTTTTAATTTTCGTGTCAATTCTAACAAGACACATCTTTTGGGACGAATGAGAGAATAATTTTTTTTTAGTTTGTTCCCTAAATTTATTTCATTGTTAATTTTGATAAAATCAATAAATTAATATTTAATTATTATTATATTTCATTCAATATTTATTTACAACAAATATCATTATCTTTATAATATTATCTTCTTATTTTTTAAAATTTTTTATACTAAATTTCTATTATCTTTTTATTTTTATATTTGTAATCAAATATTAATTTTTTTTTAATTTTTGTGTCGAATCCAAATATTTTAATTTTTGCGAACAACGAAGTAGTATTATTATTACTCCCTCCGTCCTAGATACCGTGTCAGTTACACTGTAGACACAGTATTTTAGGAGGGGTGTAATTAGTAGATAATTAAAAATATATTAGTGAAAATAATTATCATATAATATAAATAATTATAAATTAAGATTAAGATAACTAATTAGTTTAATTAAAATTAAAAAAATAAAATTAAAAAGTTTAAAATGAGATTAAAGTGTGTAATCATTTTCTAAAAAAAAAAAGTGACAGGGTACGTGGGACGGATAGAAATGACAACCTGGATATGGTATCTGAGACGAAGGGAGTATCTTTTATATGGCTATATGGCTATGTGCAATGTGTGTGATTCAATACAACATCGTTATTCTACACTTGGTGGTGGACCCCACCAGCTGCTTTTACTGCTATTTGCTTTTGAGATTTGTTGCATTGATCACTTTTATGCTCGAAAACTATACTTTATTCATTCGAATTCAGATTTTGTTTGTCATATTAGGTTAATTTTTAAGTGTTATTTATTTTATCGAATTTAATTTGTAAATTATTAAGTTTGACGGGGATTTTCAAAATGCCTTTCAAAAGTAATAATTTCCTCAGTCTCGTAACAATAACAAAATATCTATTTTTCTATTTTAGTTCATATCGTAACAAAGTATTTTTTTTTAAGTAACTGTACTGTCTACCTAACATTACAAATACCCTTACAACTTACAATATATTATAGAAATGACATTACCTTTATATCGCACATACTAATAATCTTATTTTAGTCATTTCTACTTTATTCTTACTACATCCAAATATAATACTAATATTTTTAAAAATGTGTGCAAAAAGGAAATAAATATTTAATTATGAGCCATAAGAAATATTAAAATTTATATTACTTAGGGTTTGTTTGTCCAAACACACTTATTTTTCGACACCATTCAATATAAAATATTATATATATATATATATATTCCAAATATAATTCTTTATTCTTCACATAAAAGAATTCAAATCAAAACAATAAACAAACAATAATTAACTTGGAAGATTACGTATGGAATAGGGAACAAATAAATTAAATAAATTTGATGTATATAATTGAATTGGAATTAAATATGGAGGACGAAATGATAGGACATGTATAAATGGTGCATGCCTTGGATTCTCTCATTTGAATATTTGAGTTTTACATATTAGAATAAATGTTGGTATCTATGCTCATCTACTATAATTTATTTTCTACTTACATTCAGTAAATTTTTGTACTCCCTTCGTCCCTTTGAAAGGGTGATGTTTATTTTTTGCACGTAGATTTTTGAATATTAGTATTATATTGGATTATAGTAAAAAAAAAAAAAAAAGATAAAAATACCCCTATTAGTATGGTGTAATATAAAATTAATAACATTTGTGTAATATATTGTAAATTGAAAGGATATTTATTATGTTAAGTGTGTAGTACAATTATTAAATTATGAAATGATAATCTTGTTTTGGGATAGATGGAAATAAAAAATGGTAATCTTTCAATGAGACGAAGGAATTATATATATAGATATTACTATTTACATTGTTTTATGATAAAAACCTATAATCTTTTACTTTTGTAATTTTTAAATAATTTTTTGTTATTTTTACATATTTGACCTCTTCATTATATTGGAATTTGTTATTATGGTATCTTTACTATTTAAATATGTGTATTAAAGTGTCTGATTGTTGGTTTAGTTGATGATTAGAAGTTTAATTTATTTAGATGGAATTAAATGCAATATATATTTAATTTAAAGTATATTTTGAAGAATTTAAAAATCTATACTTTAATATATATATATATATTCAATGAGAATAAAATCACATAGTTCATGTATTTTTGCCAATTTTATACTTAATTTCTTTGTAATTTACAAAAGAAGTGAATATAAAATTATCGGATGGAGAAAATATAATACAAATATATACATAATTAGCAATTAAATAGATTGATGTCAATTTTATTATTATGCTTATTTGAAATTTGATTAATTGTGCTACGAAATTTTTCTTTTTTTAACTTCAATCACTCTGAATAAATATCAAAGAAGTCAAATTTTTTTGTTTGTTTAAAATTCTTGGGCATTATACTTATCAATAAATTTATCGGATTTATATTATTTTTTTTTCAAAATCTACTTACACTCTAATGGTTTATGATATTCGGATAAGTCAATTAACAACCAAGTGTAATTTTGCATAGTGAACTTTATTTCACTGTCAATGACTTCTTTTCAAAATGGGTTAATAGGACTCAACAAGGCTTCATTAATCAATGTCGATTCTTGTCCAATATGTATGTAATAAAAATAGACCAAATATTTTCTTGATTCTGGTCTTTTTGCTACGACGAGGATTAGTAATCTCTTGATTAAGAGTAATTGTCTTTTTTCTTTTCTTACCACATAATTATTTATTTACGGATATATTTTTAAAAAATATAGCCTCTCTTACTTCTATTGTAATTTCCATGATCATTTCAAGAATAATTTATAAGTTATGAATTGATAAGCACTACTATAGTACTATTCAACTCATATCTTATAAATACACAATTAACCTTGATTCAAATAATTATATTTATATATATTAAAAATCTCTTTATATATATATATATAATTAATTTATATTATATAAATTTTATTTTTCATGAAATAATTCATTTTATATTATTTTATTAAAATGTAATTTTAAAGTATCTTAATATATATTTAAAAGGTATTATTTACTCTTCATTTAATACTTATTATACATATAAATTTGTTCACTTCTGCTTATAATGACACAATATTTTATGAATATTATAAACAAATATATAATATACATTTATTAAGAAAATTAGATAATTTAATATAAAACATTATTTTTACACTATCTGTATTTATTTTTATTTTTAACATAAAATAAATACATTTAAGAAAATAAAAAAAATAAAAACCCCAAAGCTAACAAATAATCTCTCTCCCGGCGAACTTAAAAAGAAACAATGTAAGAGTCAAAGCGGTAGATCCAAGTTGCGAAATGTGGGTCCCAACTGACCCCACAATAACCCGTCTGGTCAAAATTAACGCACACGGTCAAATGATATACTCTTCCGTCTCATAACAAAGTATCCATTTTTTTATTTTAGTCTGTCCCATAACAAAATATCCGTTCTTTTTTAGTAATTATATTATCTACTTAATATTACAAGTACCCTTACAACTCACAATATATTACACAAATGTCATTACTTTTATATCACACATACTAATAAAATTATTTTAGTTATTTCTACTTTATTTCTATTATATCTCAATATAATACTAATATTTCTAAAATTACGTAAAAAAAAAACAAATGAATATTTACTTATGGGATGGAGGGAGTATATAGATTTTTAGGTAAATTGCAGAAAATTTTTATAATGTATGTTTTATTCACTTTAATCTTCTATTTATTTCTATTACAAAATAAATCATATATGTTTGCAAAAGTCGCTATTTTTATCTTTTGGCCGCGCGTGATATTTATCATCCCACGCGCAGTTACTCACGAATACGTGTTGCCAAATGATAAAAATACTCCATCCGTCCCATAACAAATTATTTATTTACTTTTTGCATGTTGATATTTGAATATTATTTATTATATTAAAACATATTATAAATCAAGGGAAAATGACAAAAATACTTCTATTAGTATCTTATAATACTAATATAATGACATTTGTGCAAAAGAAATATACAAATATAATTATATTTTTAATGTCAAGTACAATAGCGCAAAAGACAAATAGATACCTTGTTAGGGACAGAGGTAATAACAAATTTTTGAAATATATGATAAATATTTTTCAGTAAGATAAATATATGACAAAAGTAATAATGGAATATATATAGAGTATATTTTGCAATTTTACCTAGATATTTTGTATGGATTGGACACGCCGCCATAATGCAATAGCACCGTTGGATTTAATGTCATCCAACGTACGTAATTGAATTGAAGAGAGAGAGAGATTGAGAGATATTAATAATAGATCCTTAATTAAATCAAAATTAAAGCCATGCAATGCAAGGACAGGGACTCCCCAACCAATATGCTGCGCATTTATAGAGATAAAAATAATAATAATAATAATAAAATAAAAATAAAAAATAAAAAAAAATGCCTCCTCTTAATTAGGGAAAGACATCAATTAATTGCCTCTTCAACAATATACATTTATATATAATGTGTATATATATATATACATAAAGAGAAATATCTGAGGTGTATATATAGCTAGATAATATGTAACATATAAATAATTTAATTATTAGTACAACAAAGACAGATGATATATAATTTGTATTAACAATATATTAACACAACATATTATGTAATAAAATACAATATGCACAACCTCCGACGCCTCCAGGTTTACCTGTCATACATTATTCGTCTATTGTAACTTTCTTTGTCGGGCATAGTTTGTAGGGTATTAAGTTTGGCCGAGAGCTTACTCAGTAGATACTTTTGATTGGCGGTTCCCAATTCTCATATTATAATATATATATATATATATATATAGACACACGATATGCACAAGCTGATCAAAATAAAAAATATGACGTGGACAATCGACGCAAATCTCATGTTGATTCGATCAAATCAGCGTGGTGGTTATCTAACTAAATCATGTTATGTTATAAAGATAAACAATATACATTTACATATAGTACATCATCATATAGTATGTTATAAAATATCTTATGTTGTACTATAAATATGTTCATATATAATACTCCCTCCGTCCCACATACCGTGTCTGTTACATTGTAGACACGGTATTTTAGGAGTGGTATAATTAGTAGATAATTAAGAATATATTAGTGAAAATAATTATCCTTATAATATAAATAATTATAAATTAAGATTAAGATAACTAATTAGTTTAATTAAAATTTTTAAAAAAATAAAATTAAAAAGTTTAAAATAAGATTAAAGTGTATAATTATTTTCCGAAAAAAGAAAGTGACATGGAGGACAGACAGAAACGGCAACATGGACATGGTATATGGGACGGAGAGAGTATATATATGCTCTAAGGATCTTATTTACCTTTTGCGTCATTATATTTAATATTAAAAATATTTTTATATTTGTATAATTTTTTTCAAAAAATCATGATAATAATATTATAGATACTAATACAAGTATTTTTGTTATTATTCTTATATTTGTACTATATTTTCATATAATAATTAATATTCAAATATTGCCGACTAAAAAAGAAAAGTAAATACGACCTTGTATATTTCTTCCGATTGCAGTATTAATTAGCTCTGCACTTTAACCAATTCCAATACATATTTAAAAATAAATAAATAAATACTGTACAAAATGGGGGCAGGAGTCTCGACCAGTTTGCAGCACCAACTTTCCTAATCTTCTCTGCCAATCACTAAAATAACGACTAATTCCAATTAATTACTATTATTATTATTATTTAAATATTTATAGTTTGATTCGTATCGCTGAAAAACGACCCTTTAATTATTTGTTGGTCAAAATCTCTGTATTCGCCGCCGGGATCCGTCAATCCGCCGACGGCGCCGAGCACGCCCCTTTTCCGGCCACTCGGAACAACCACCGGCGGCGGCGGTATCTGGCAGCTATCTATCGGCGGCGGGGGCCGCCGCCACTGCGGCAGGGGCCCGGCGACGAGGAGGTTCTGCAGGAGGGGGCCGGCCTTCACCACGGCTTCCAGAAGCTTCCCCTTCTCCGGCAGCGGCTTCGTCACCGCCACCGGCGGCGACGGCGAAGGCGGAGGAGACGAAACAATGCTCTCGTCGCAGTCGGAGGACGCCGAGAATCCTCCGTTGCCGGAATCGAGCCGGAGATCGTCGCCGGAGGTCGAAACCCTAGAATTCTTCTGGCGGAGCAGCAATTTGTTATTCTCGAAGGCCAATTTCCGGCACTTCTCCAGAGCTTCGTTCCGGTCGTTAATGGCGGCGGCGACCATTTCCCTGAGTCGGGAAATCTCGGCGTCTTTGAGCTTCATCTCCGCCGCCGCTTTGGCCTTCGTCTCTTCGACCTCCATGGTCAAGACAAGAGTGGCTTCTCTGATTAAATCAGCCTCCTGTAAGAGAAATTAAAAATCTTTTCATTATAATAATTAATTAAAATTGGGAATGTAAGAAATGAGGTTATATGGAGAAATTAATTAACCTTATGGTGGCCCATGTAATAATCATTGGTGGACATCCAGTTGGGTTGAAGAAGAAGAGCTCTCTGGACATCCATGGAGAAACGAGTGAGTTGGGGAAGAAGGGGGAGGATACTCTGCCCCTTTTATGGACTAAATTTTGTTGCTAAATAATTTAGAGAAAAAAAAAAAAATTATGTGGACCCATCTCCATTTTAATTTGTAGGATTTTTTTATTTGGTAGGATATTCTAAATTTTGACTATTTGAATTATCCATTTTTAAAAAAAAAAATTATTCTATTTAATTTGTATCACTGTAATTTATATTTTTTTTAAAAAAAATATAATTATACATTTTAATTATATTTTAAAATTTATAATTTATAAAAAAAATTTAATTAAATTATTCAGTATCTTAATATTAATTTATAATATTTTTCTTAATATATTTTAATTATTTACTAATTATATAATATTTAAAATTTTTTGTCTAATCTAAATGGGATAGATGGGACAGAGGGAAACAAAATATTTTCTATCATGCAAATTTGTGCTCATTTGACCGGACACGGGTTTTAATAAAAGTGAGTAATAATAATTACTTTTTCCTTTTATAATAAAAAAAATACAAAAATATAATACTACCTCTGTCCCGGTGCAAGGTTGTTATTTACTTTTTGCACGTAGATTTTGTAATACTCCCTCCGTCCCATAACAAAATATCTATTTTTCCATTTTAGTTCGTCTCATAACAAAGTATTTATTTTCTTTTTTAGTAACGGTACTATCTACCTAACATTACAAATACCTTTACAACTTACAATATATTATACAAATATCATTACCTTTATATCACGTATACTAATAAGGTTATTTTAGTTATTTCTATTTTATTCCTACTATATCTCAATATAATACTAATATTTCTAAAACTACGTGAAAAAAAAAATGTATATTTCTTATGAGACGGAGGGAGTATTAGTATTATAATGGGTTGTAGTGATAAGACGAAAATAATCCTATTAGTATTGTGTAATATAAAAGTAATGGCATTTATGTAATATAGTGTAGGTTGGAAGGATATTTATTATATTAGGTATGTAGTACAATTACTAATTATGAAATTGCAATCTTATTTTGGGACGAATAAAAATAAAAAATTGCAATATTTCAATGGGACAGAGGAAGTAATTTTTTACTTAAAAAAAAAAATATTTTTCAATGATAATCCAAAAAAAAAAAAAAACATAAATATAAATAATATATTTTTTTCTTTTATAAAATATTTTATTATATATTATTTTAATATTAAATTTAAATTAATTTTTTTTTAAAAAAAAATAATAATAACAACAACAACAATAATGTACGTGTGTGTATATAGAAGACTATAGGAGGGGCTATACTGCCGAACCTAGGAGAGGAGAACAGTGACTGTGTTGGGCGTGACATAACAGGATATATCTAATCCAATCTGACTCTCACTTTGTGAAAAATTAAATTAAATTAAATTATAAATTAAATTATAGATTAAATTAAATTAAAATAAAGTGTGAAAATAAATGAAAGAAAATTGGTTTTACGAGGAGGAGTCTAAAAAGAATAGTGCAATGGGGCAAAGTAAATGTCACCTGCAGGCAGGCTAAGGTCCCATCTAATTTGGCCCTTTTTGACCCATCCATTGCCATTGTCAATACACCAGCGAGCTGCTACAACGCTGAATTTTAAATTCGGTAATATATTCAACAATATACCGTGTGCTTTTAGATAATATATAATAATGTTATAACAGTATATTGTATATGTTAATATATAGTATATGAACAAAACACACATATTATAGTCTCAACATCACACAATATAACTACAGACAACACACAATACTATTACTACAGACAGCACATTGTATATGTTAATATATACAAATACAACACATGCTATAGTCTCATACAACATACAGAACAGTTAATTTTAGCACATGACATACTTGTATACAACGCACTTGTTATTAGTACAAAACATCACATACCTTTATTATACATAACATCTATTGTGTGTAATACTAATGTTTGTTTGCATATGTAACGTATACTGATGTGAAAAATCAACAATGGTGCTGACACTGTAACCATCCTTGAATATTGTTATATAATCTACTTCCTCCATGCTAAAATGGTATTGAGATGTAGTATGAATAAAGTAGAAATTACTAAAATAACTTTATTAGTATTGTGTGATATAAATGTAGTAGTATTTGTGTAATATATTGTAAGTTGTAAGGATATTTGTAATGTTAGGTAGATAGTACAGTTACTAAAAAAAAATGAATATTTTGTTACGAGACAAATTAAAATAAATAAATAAATAGTTTGTTACGAGAGAAATATATAAATTAATAATAATAATGATAATAATAATAATAATTCATCAATTACATAGTATAATTAAATTCAACACATAAGATATATTCATATATACTCTGAAGTCAACATATGATTTCAGTTAATACAACATGTGCCGTGCTCACGGAGAGCATAGGGTCCGTTTGTTTGGAGGTTTGGATTTTGAGTTGGGATTTGAATAGTAAAAATTTTGAATTTGAATAGTTGTATGATGTGAAATAAATATGTATTGACGTGATGTTGTTTTGAATGTAAAATTGATTTTTAGTATAATATAAAAAAATAAAAAATAAGTGTTTGATTTGATAATTTTTTTTTTTAAAAAAAGATAAATAGTGTATTTAAAATCCAATCTCCAAACAAACACACCCATCGGGTTATTATTTTTGTTTATATTAATCACAACTAATCAACACAGTAACTAATATAACACTATCACACATTGCATTATGATGATTCAATAAATATATATATATTTAATAAAAAAAAAATACTTGCTCTCTATAAATTGTTTTAACTCAATTTATTTTGCAAGCAATTTGAAGCCATTAGTTAAATTTGATTATATCCAATTAATCACTGTTGGGAGGTCTAACTTTACCAGTAAAATTTGGTTCAAAATGTGAATACATCTGTCACTGTTTTAAAAGAGTTTCAACTCCAAATGATTTTCTTTTGTGATATATACTCCCTCCGTCCCGTTAATAAGTATCCAATTACTTTTTACGTGTAGTTTTAGATATATTAGTATTATATTGGGATATAGTAGAAATAAAATAGAAATAACTAACATAACTTTGTTAGTATGTGTGATATAAAAGTAATGACATTTGTGTAATATATTGTAAGTTGTAAGGGTATTTATAATGTTAGGTAGATAGTACAGTTACTAAAAAAAATAAATAATTTGTTATGGGACAGACTAAAATGAAAAAATGGATACTTTGTTATGGGACGGAGAGAGTATATATATATGAACAAGTATGTGGTTCAGAGAGGGACATTCTTTTCACTGAAATTGCAACATTTAGTAAATAGTACTTCCTCCGTCCCAAAATAATAATTTGGATTGTGTTTGGTACGAGATTTAACGAATATTGATATTATATTGATAGTGAGTAAAACGTATGGGCAAAAGACTTTTTTGTCCTTATGAGTGTCTTAGTGTAAAAAATAATGACAATTGTGTAATAATAATAATAAAAAAAGTAAAGGTAGTTTTATAATAATATGGTAAACAAGACTATTGTAATGAGACAGAGGGGGTATTTTTATACAACACCAAAATAAATAAATAATGGCTTTGTTCACCCAACGCTTTTTTATAGATTGATTTTCAGTGTGTTGTATGAGAAATTGTATTAAAAGAATAAATTGTACTAATATTTTAAATTGAATTTTTGACTTGTTGTAATAATTGTTTTGAAGAAAATAGAGAAACACTTTTTATCAAATAAAGAAACATTATACATTTTATATTCTTTAGAAACTCGTTTTATAGACAGAGAAACCACTTATAAGTAGAGTTAGTTGCAGATCAGTTTATAATTTTTCTTCTCTTCACTTCCATTGACGTTTTGTGATTCTTCCATTATCTGGTGCATAAAGAAATACAGTTTTTCCCTGGTTCTGTTTCTATATGTTTAATTTTTTATTTATTTTTTTTGAATTTATCCTTTTTATGGTAGTATGGAGCATTGTGTAAAAAAAAATAAAATACTTCCTCCGTCCACTTTAAATGTTTATATTTACTTTATGTGTGTTGATCTTTGAATATTAATTATTATATCAAAATATATAACAAATTAAGTAAAAAAGATAAAAAAAAATACTTATATTATTGTCTTATAATACGAATGTAATAACATTTGTATAAATATTTATACAAATAATATTTTTAATGTTAAGTACAATGACGCAAAAAATAAATGTAAATTTTCAAAATGGACGGAGGAATGAAGTATTATTTTTGGGGAATCGCAATAGACCCTATGTATAGACTTTTAACATATAAAAGATGGACCAAATTTAGGTTGTGGAAATTATCACTTAATCCAAATAAGTTTGTTTATTTGAAATGGGATGAATTATGAAGGAATGCATGTATGTGCACCATGTGAGGAAAACGTGTTGCTGATGCTGCATAATTTGGATCCTAGTATTTTTTATTTATTTATTGAATTTTAATTTAATTGATTAAGTTTAGTATTTGTTGAAATTTTAGCTTATTTTTGTTATGACTCGTTGTGTGTGTTTAAATATAATTTTATTATGTAAATTTAATGTGAAATGATACTGGGACAAAATGTATAGCTACATAAGGGTTCGGGAGATTTGAGCCTCCCGAGCCATTAAATCGATATTTTAATATTGATTGAATACGCCATAATTCAATTTTTCGTAACCTCTATTAGGCTGGAATTGAACAATTTTTATTAAACCGATATTTTAGTATTGATTGAATACGTCAAAATTCGATTTTTTACCATCAATTTTACTAAAAGTGTTTTAAAAAAACCGTTTAACCCCTTAGGGGGGTTGTTGTAGTTCTAGCTCCATCGTTGTATATACCTGTACAGCGGCGGATTTAGAAAAATTATTAACTGGTGACACAATATATCAACTTTAAAATAAATTAAATTAAAATTTTAAATTTTGTTAATAAAAAATATATATACTAACAATTTATGGCTTCATTTGAACCATTAATAATTATTATTGAT